AAACCACAAGATCATATCAATTGATGTCGAAAAAGCATTTGACAAACATCGACATCAGTCACATTAAAACCATTCACCTCTCAGCAAACTAGGAAGAGAAGGAAATTTCTTCAACTTGATAAAGAGCATCTATAAAAGAACCCACAGCTAACATTATATTGGGTTGTAGGAAAAGTCATGACGCATTTTTGCAATGAAAAACAGAAAGATACATCATGACTTTTCCGACAACCCAATACTAGAGTGAAAGACTGAAAGCTTTCTCCCTAAGATCAGGAGCAAAGCAAGGATGTCCACTCTCACCATTTGTATTCAACATTATACTAAAAATTCTAACAAGGGCAATAAAGCAAGAAGGAAAAAAAAGAAAGAAAAGCATACAGATTGAAAAATAAAATATAAAACTGTCCTAGTTCACAGATGTCATGATTATCTGTGTAGAAAATCCCAAGGAATTTATTAACAGCAAAAAACCTCCAAAAACTAACAGATGAAGCTAGCAAAGTCACAACATACAAGACCACATGTAAAAATCAACTGCACTTCTATATACCAGTAGACAACAATTGAAAATATAAGTTTAAAAAGCAATACCATTTCAATACCTCCAAAAAATGGAATATGTATGAATAGATCTAATAAAACCTTTACAATATCTGTAGACTTAAAACTATAAGATGCTAATGAACAAAATTAAAGACTTAGAGACATACTGTGTTCATGGACTGGACAATTCAACATAGTAAAGATGTCAATTCTCTCCAAATTGATCTATAAATGAAATGCAATTCAAATGAAAATTCCACCAGAGTATATTAGATAACAGTTTTGCATAAATATTAAATTTCCTAAATTTGATAATAGCAGTGTGGGTGCTATAAGGGAAGAGAATGTTTTTTAGAAAATATACACTGAAGTATTTAGAGACAAAGGATTGTAATCTGTGCAAAGTAGTCTCAAGTACAAACATACATATATGATTATATATTTATATTTAGAGATAAATCAAATATAAAATGTTAAAAATTGGTAGATCTATGTGAATGTTATATGGGATTTTATTTAAATATTCTTGCAAATTTTCTGTTGATCTAAAGCTTTGGGGTTTTTTGAAAATAAAAAGTTTAATTTAAAAACTCCCTTCAGGAGTTTTTGTTGACATAAACAAGCTGATTCTAAAATGTATATGATCAACAAAGGAACTACAACAGCTAAAACAATTTTGAAAAAGAATAAAGTTAGAAGAATTACACTGTCTGATTTTAAGGCAGTATAAAACTGCAGTAATCAAGACAGCAATGTGTGGCTGGGGGGATAGACATGGTGACCAATGGAACAGAATGGAGAGTCCAGAAATAGATCCACACAAATATGGCCAATTGATTTTTGACAAACATTCAAAGGAGGAAGGATAATCTTTTCAACAAATGATGTTGGAACAATTGAGTATCAATATGTAGTAAATAAACCTTCAATAAAACCTCACATTTTAGTTAAAAATTAACTCAAAATGGATCACAGATCTAAATATAAAACACACTTCCAACGTGGATACTCTTGGGAGATCAGTCTCCCGGGGGTTCTGTCCAAGAAGCATAGGGGAGCATAGGGCTCTGTCCTGTGATGTACAGTCCCTTTCCACGACACTGGAGATGAAGCCAGGCCTTGAGTCTGCAGCTGCATATGCCTACACCTTCTCAGAGTCCTGTGGACAATGACTGAGGAGACAAGCCATGCAGGAAACATCTAGTATATAAATAAATAAATAAATAAATAAATAAATAAATAAATAAATAAATAAATAAATAAATAAAATAACACAAAACTGTAAAACTTTTAGTAAAAAACATAGGAGAAACCTTTCATGACCTGAGGTCAGGTAAAGAGTTCTTAGATTTGACATGAAAAGCACAATCTGTAAAAAAAGAAAAAAAATTGTTAAATTGGACATCAAAATTAAAAGCTTTTGCTCTAGGGCCGGCCGAGTGGCGCGATGGTTAAGAACTCGCTTGGGATGCCAGAGGGCCCCGGTTCGGATCCCACATATGAGGGCCAGTGACA